GGAAGTGCGTCGCGCGCCTGTATGATAAAACGACGAGAGCTTACATAGACACGCCGCACGGGGGTCTCGCGCAACCGATTAATGGTGCATGATCGATTGTTTCCGGGGCTCGATTATTGGCCATTCGCGTTAAGAGACTGTATCGGACAGACATTTTCGCGGTCAGTCGTTGTTTTGATGTTGGTACAATATAAATATAGTTGCCCTGTTGCGTAATGTGCATGGTAAAATTTACTCCAAAAAAGCTACTTGGAGACTCCAAAACAGAAATTTTGTTTTTAACCTTCGAAACCATCAAGTTTTCGTTCCACTGAACAAGGGTCAATAGTTCAAGTCTCATATTTTATCACGAATTTTATTCACATAAAATATGTGATTTCACCTGCTGCAAAAATATTTTAAATAATTTAGCAGCAGTTCTACTTTTTTTCTCTAATCATTAATAAAACTTATAGAAATATTTTATTCAAGCTCTACAATGGCCTACAATTTCTTGCAAATACTTTTACTCGCCACGTTGGTGAGCGAGGTCGGCTGCTATAGTAAATATTATGCATTGGTATTATTTTACATTCAATATTGGAAGAATCGTAATAAAAGCTATACATTAATATTTTTATTAGCTTTTCTATAGATAATGATAAAACTTAAATCAGAAGTTTTTTTCGTTTCGAAAATACTAAAATTTTTATACGAAGTTATAGCTTGGTTTCGGATAGATTTTCTTTATTATAGTGCATTGGACTTCTTGCAAGGTATATACACTTCCTTTATTTTACTCAAATTCGGGTAGGTAATAGGATATAGACTCGTGATATGGGCTCATGCCTTTAATGTCAACAGGGGAACTTTAAGTACATAAAGAAAAAGAAAATTTGCATTCAATGGAACATAAGTGACCATGCAATAATGTCAAGCATTTCATGACTACCCTTGATAATTACAAAGTAATATATAAGATAAGAAATTGAAAATTCCTTTCATTAGTTAATTTTCCATTATTTTTTATTCAACTATTCGTTAATACAAAAACTCTTTAAAAATCTTGTTAAAGTACAAAAATCGTTAAAACTCACAAATGTTATGTGAAGAAAAAATAATTCAATATTTTGTTTATATTAAAAACCTTACTTATTTTTTCAGTTTCTCAAGACTTTGCTCATCGCTCAAATACATCAAATATCATTGGAAAAAATCAAATTTAATTCAATTAAAAAAAGATGATTCACTATATTGATCGTTTACTTCCTGAAAAAAATTATTCGCCGCCAGCAATGATTGAATATATTGCCAATTTTGGTAAATGGATTTGCGTTTCTCCTGACATGAATAAAATTATTCGACTACTTGGGAACATGGTGTTTTTTGGAGTTTGGGGATTCGTATTATTGAATTTGGTAAATATTTATAAATTTCCTTTTTTAACATATATTATCCCTTCATTGAGTAGAAATAAATGACAAAATTAAAGAAATGATATCTTTTTTAAAATTATAATTTTTTTTTGGAAAAAGATTGTAATTTAATTTTTCTGAGTACTTGTATAATATACAAAATAGACTAAATGGTATGTGTCTAAAAAAGTTGTCTGAAAAAATTTAAATATCAATTATAAGAATAGTTCTTTCATATAATTGTTACAGGAACTTTAAGTTATCTTTTATTTTTAATATCGAACTTAATTCATCAAAGAAAAAATTTTACGAACGGAGATTGTGTGCAATTTTTTCGAAAAGTTTACAAATTCCATCTCCATAAAGTATGGCAGCTCGATAATAAAAATATATAACTCTTTTTCAGGGGCTTGCAATTACATTTGGAATTATTGAAGGAACTATGACAAATAATGATATATTCAATACATTTTTTGTTTGTATCTTTGTTCTTGGTTTCAGTTTAGTGTATGTATCCCTAATGTTTGATTCAAATAAGGTATGCATAAAAACCATGCAAGTACATTTGAACTGCTTTTTTTAATTGAAATAAATAATTTACTATAGGTGAAGGATATTGCAGTTAAAATGGAGATCATGTGGTATAATTGCAGATCTGATACAGAGAAAAAAATTATCTTAGAACAATCGAAAATCGCTTTCATCATTACTATTCTTTACTTTGGTATGCATTTATTATATTAAGTTGACAAAGTTAATTAAACTTTAAAGTACCCATGAATTGAAAATAAAAATATTCATTTTGTTTAAAATAATGACTATTTCAACTATTTTTATAGGTCTTTTATCAGTTTCATTTTTAGGATATACATTCGAGCCGATTGTCACGTTTTCAATAAACAGTTGGATATCAGTGAATAACTCGGTTGAAAGAAGCTTATGTGTCCCTATCTATTTTACTAAAGCTGTGAAGATCTATTACTGGCCAAGTTTTTGTCTTTCCGTGTTCCTTACTTTTGAAATTATATTCATAATCAACGCCATGAACTTTTTTCAAGTTTTTTCAGTAAAATTTTTAGTAGGATTGCTTTCAATGTTAGGGTAAACATGAATTTTAATCAATTTTATGGAAAATTTTTGATATCTGCGTCATTTGTGTTTTAGACATGATATGGCACACATACATGAAAAATTAGAATCGAGTTCTATACTTTCGGTACAAGAACAAAAAATGAAAATAATTAATGCAAGGATTCGCGATAACATTCGTATTCATCAAGAAATAATAAAGTTGAGTGATTTTTATTGTAATCATAATAAGATAATATTTTTCTGTTGGAAATGGAGATACATACTTAAATCATCACGTAAAGATCAATAAACTCATCAATATATGACTGATTAAAATTTAACTATAATATTTTAGGTTGTTTGAAGCTTTGCAAGGAGTGGTACAAACGAAGTTTTTAATCATAATAATGTTAATAACGTGCGAATTAAGTTTAGCAGGATTCTGGGTAGTTCTATTAAAATTCTTTAAAATTGTCCTTCCTTTTACTTTCTACGAAAAAATGATTTGTTCAAAGCGTAGTCCTGTTTTTTTTAGTTTTTGGTTATAATTTCGTACGATAAATTGTTTGCTTCCAAAATGGCTTTTTTAATGATATCTGGAGTTATGATTCTATTATATTTAATTTATTCAAGTGAAGATATAATAAATGCTTGTGATCGATTGAATAGGAATTGGTAATGAAATGACATAATTAACAATAACACAATTACAAAAAAAAACTATGTTCAAAATTCTCTTTCAGTTACGACGCCAAATGGTACTTATTTTCAGTAAAAGAACGACGTTTGATTCTTATAATGATTCTCCGAACTGCAAATCCTTGCATTTTTACGGCTGGTCCTACGTTTCCTATGAGTTATGAAACTTTTAGCGCAGTGAGTTATTCAAAGTAGATCGATTAATTTTGATTACTGCATACAATTTAAATCATGAATATATTTTTTAGATTATGAGAATGATACTGTCTTATTTGATGGCTTTTTATCGCATTATGCAGAAATTTTAATATCTTGAGTTCCAAGGAGTAATCAACGCAAATGTTTCGTTGATGTCGTTGACTCGATCCCTCTTTATGGTGAGGCTAAATTAGTGATGCTGTGAAGATGCAGAGTTACATAAACCAAGCAGTGTTAATCCATCAACGGTTGACTTGAAAAATCGTATACTTTGATACCGTTTTCTATTAAAAATGGTTTAAAATAATATACACTTGTTTTTTTGTAAATAATTTTTAAGTGGTTCTTGCATTTATATCTTTTTTCTCTCTACCGTTGTCTGATGAGTCTCGATGTAACGTCCCACGTGTATCCCATACTTGGTGAACCAGTACATTTAAGACAGTCTACGCAAGGGCAAAGAGTATTTCGATACATTTTTTTTATAAACAGTTCCAATTCCCTGGCGAAAATGAGAATGACAAATAATCGTATTTTGAGAATTTTTATGATGCCCTGCACAAAGTACTAGCATTTTTCTATTCTTTTTCGATTCTATTCGGCATCCAGCCGAGGTAAAAATACTACTACTAGTATTTAACTTTTATTAGAAGTATATGATATTGAATAATTAATGCCTACCAAGTTTACGTTACTCAACAAACTTTGAGGAATCATATTTTTATTTTATTTTGAATTTTATTACAAAGCATATTCTGTAAAAGCCAGACCAACAATATCTATTCGAGTAGATATTAACTATCAGACAGAACCAACCGTACTTATGTCTGAATTTCGAACCATAGCAGTCCAAAAGATCTCTATGTTATTTGACGATTGTGTTTCAACGGTTTCTAAAATATTGAACCTCGAAAAAAAGTAATTTGGACAATAAAAGTGGGGTCAGTAGGGCCGAATCTGAAATTCGATCTGAGCCTCTCTATCGGCGTGAAGTGATGCTGAAAACTTTTCCCAGGGAGTGTAGAAATATTTTTGACAGTTGCAATCTGTCTCTCGTACGGTAGAATTATATATATTATTTAGAGTATGCAGGAAAGGGGTAGGAGGTGTTACGAGGGCCCAGTCTTTATTACTCCTATAGTTGACCAAAAAATCGAGATATTCGACTGCGCTCCACAATTTACCACAGTCAACAAAAACCAGGTCTTGGTGTTGATTGCGGTGTGGTCCGAGATCCCATCAGAACTTCATTACACTTAAAGCTAACCTACTGGGCTCATGATGCCAAGGTGGAAACTTCTTCTCCATATCTCAGGTCCAGCACAAGAACCCCACTAATAAAGTTTTATCGCAAAAATGTCCATTAGTCCTATGTAAAAAAAATAAGACTATGGAATGTGAATTTAATAGTACATTTCTTGCGCTGGGATAGTTATATGTGAGGATTGGAAGAATATTTTTTACTTAAAATACATTTTTTTATCAATACCTTCATTTTTTATTTTTTTTTATAATCTAGTTAATTTTTCAAAATATACATGCACTGTATGAATTATAAAATGATTTTATGCACGAGATATACTTGTATAAATAACAAAAATTTTGAATGAAATATTAAATGATATTATTACAAAAGAAACATGTTTTTTTATCATTGGATACACAATATACATTAAGAACACAGGTTGTGCCGAATGACCAATAGAATTTGTTCCCCTTTTTTTGGAATCGGTTAAAGATTTCAGTGTGCGAAGTCGAGAAATAAGCATTGCTTTAATTTGAGGATTTTCTAGTAGCGGATCGCTCAAGTCTAATTCCTGTAATGCAGTGCATTCACATGCCTTTTAAGAGTATCCTTTCGGCCATATGACTTGTGACAAATATCACATTCAAAAGGTTTGCTCTGATTATGTACTGCACTTATATGTCTGCTGAGATCTTTTTTTGGTCCAAATGATTTAAGACAAATATCACATTCGTAGGGTTTTCTTCGATTATGTACCATCACTATGTGTCTATTCATGTTTGGCTTTTGTCCAAATGATTTTTTACAAATATCACATTCGAAGGGTTTGCTTCCATCATGTACTGCACTTATATGATCTTTAAGCGTATGTTTGTATCCAAATGATTTACGACAAATGTCACACTCGAAAGGTTTGCTCTGGTTATGTACATTATGTACTACCGTAATGTGAGTTTTCAGTACATTCTGGTATCCAAATAATTTGTGACAGATCTCACATTCGAAGGGTTTTTTTCGATTATGTATCGTCACTATGTGTCTATTCATGTTTTGCTTTTGTCCAAATGATTTTTTACAAATATTACATTCGAAGGGTTTTCTTCGATTATGTACTGTATTTATATGAGTTTTGAGATATCCTTTTTTTCCAAATGATTTATGACAAATCTCACATTCGAAGGGTTTCTTACCATCATGTACTATACTTATGTGAGTTTTGAGGCTAGTTTTGAATTTTAATGACTTTTGGCAGATCTCACATTCATATGAACTAATGTCATTATGTGTGAAATTGAAATGACTATTTAAACTCGTTTTTCGTTTATAAGTTTTTCGATACATTCTGCGCTGATAAGACAATTTTGTTTGAGTAATTTTTCCAAATTTCTTAATCTTCTCATATTCATCAATTTTTATTTGGGAATATTCATTAAATTGAGAGCCATCATCGTAATTGAATCCTTTTCGTATTAAAATTTTTAGATTATTTCCATTTGAGTAGTTTGTTTGACTTTTGTTTTCTATTTTTACAATAGGTAGACAACTTTGATATTCAGTTTTGAACGTTGTCGATAGAAACTCCTGATCAGGTTTAACATTTTTGCACTCAAAATATATGGATATATTTTCATGTAATTTTTCAGGTGATTCCATAGCTTTATTCATGTGATTTACCTAAAAGTGAAATTGTGTTATAGCTTTTGATAAGGGAATATTCGAACATAATTCAAATCATTAAACTCACTGGTGATTGATAAAAATTGATTGTTTTAAAGTTTTCGGTTTCGCAAAAGTCCATCGAATCGAAAATATTATTGTCAAGTACGTCTGACCAAGTATCATTCGGTTCTTCTTTCACGCTGAAAAATAGTCAAGTTCGATGCGATGATTGCTTATAAAAATATCACGGCATGTACAAAAAATGTTATACCTAATTGGGTCCTGTCTGCTTTCCATCATTTGCTAAATTATAGATGTTTACTGTTAATTTCTACAATATACACTGAAAAAATATTTGAGGTTATATGCCTCGAGTAGCCAATACTGTAGTACCTCGAATTCACCAATTTGTAAACACTTGCTATCTGAAGAATTACTTAACAGAGATGCTCTATACTTATATATTAGCGAGTCGACCTCGCAATTTTGAGAGCTCCTTAGCGATGCTTACCCCCTCTACCGTCGTCCTCTACTTGTCGTTTGATATGACTTTAATATGTAGAAATACTAGATGCGAAAATGACATTCATCAAGTCGCATAATTGCTTAAAAGTGGAGAAATATTCATTTACCTCAGGAATATTCATTTTATTTATATCTTAGGATTCACAAAGATACTAAGTACAGGACCCTGTCTTGCGTACAGTATCCTCCCTGTAGGGAAGATGACATATTCAACGTTGTTCATTTTTCAAGGCCTAGGGTAATAATTTTATTAGCATTTTCGATTTTTTTTTTTCAGGTTTAAAATCGTTTTTCGAAATAAAATAATAATAAAAGATCAATTAAACTTTCGTTTCAGACCAAAAAAGTGATGATTCATCGCTTATTATAAAAATTACATCTCGAAAATAAAAGTTATTTTTATTTTTTCTGAAAGGCAGGGATTAGTAAAAAATCAGTAAAATTACATGCAAAAAATATCAACTGTTTTTTAATAAACAATATTTCTTCGAGTTTTGTAAGTGCATTTGGTTTTTTTAGTTCATTTGCAGGGTTACTTGAAAATCTATGAAGTAACGTTATAACTTTTGAATCATTAGAGTATTTGCGACCATGAATCTCGTATAATTTTGATGCTCAAAATATAATCTCAAAAATAACGTCCTGAATGCAACGTATGTCCAAGGACTTTAAATGAAATTAATCTTGCGTTCTTTTTCAAAGACCAGCGCAATAAAATTATTTTTTTAAATTAAGTTGGCAATAAGATGCGCTTCTGGCACTCCGAGTAACAATGCGCGTTTTCAATGTATAAGTTGCGCAATGCATGCGGCGCACATTTAAAAAGCAGTCCGATGCGTACACGCTCCAATATTCACGGGCATTCGAACGTATTATCGAACGCAAGGAGAAAGAGAAAAAAAGTTGATTCGTCAAGGCTGTATTATGCACAAGAAAGGAACTGTTGTTACCGATGAAGAGTATGCTTATAATTTTTTCATACATCCCTCAACGATTTATCATCGCGCGTGTCTCCCGAGTTCATAATAATAAGCTTTTATAAATATTATGGCATTTATATTTTACAAGCTTGAAAGAGGAATTGTTTTCTCTTTCTCTTTCATTCACACTTTTGCGAAGAGACCAATACAATGTAGAGTTCGTAATCTGTATCGCCCACATATCTGTATCTTTATCGCTCGAAATTTTCATGAAGGAAAAAATTTATATAACAATAATTTATGCTTGAATAACGCGCAGAAATCAATGGCAATCGTGTCGTGCAATAAATCCTGTATTTTCAAATATTAATGTATGAATATGTTTGACCAAAAATAAGTGGATATGTGCGCACCTTTCATATGTAATTTACCGCGTCTGCGACCTAACGAAAGTAAGGTGAAATAAAACAAATGTTACTTTCAAATAGTTAATTTTCATTTCTTCAATTTGATCGGTGAAAATAAAATATCTGACGAACGAAGACAATGAAGCGACTCACAGCTGCATTATTAAATTTTAATTATCTATTCACGGTGAAGTTCATTTTCCAATAAAATCCGAGCTTCGAGTCTTCGCTGGAGCTCTCTGAACACGGGCACGTGTGCCAAGAAGAAAGTGACGGGGTCACGAATGAAAACGGCTTGTAATACTCTCGTCAAATGGGCGACCGCAATAATAGCATAGTCGATGATGCGCGCGTGCCACACGAATTCGACCTCCCGCAAATTAACGACCCGGATGGCGAAAAATATAAATAAATCAATAAATAAATAAAAAATAAGGACTCTCTCTAGGCAGATCATTAGCGCTTACGCGCAAAAACATGCGTGCACGAAGTGCAAGCTACCCTACTATTACTCGTTCAGGTGGACTTTTCCTTCTTTTGCGCCGATCGATTCTGCGCTTCACCGCACGGAGTCCAAAAAGATTTCCACGTGGTAAAGCTCTTAAGAACGTCACGCGGCAAGTGAAGCAGATATAGAAAAGAGCTTCATAAATCGTGACGGCTAAGTATATACGACGATTCTTCGGCCAGCGATTTCACCGCGCTTTATTGTTTTCTTACACGAGCGCACATATATACACACATAGCCAGGAGCTTCCTTTCCTTTTCGAGTTGTTATTTTTTGTTGTCGTTCTTCTTCTCATTTTGCTGCGCTCGAGCATAATACGGCTATACAAACGGCGTTTTCATGTGTACGAGCAACGTCGAGTTTGCGTTTCATATCGCGCACGTTAATTGCTCCAGTGCGCGCTCCGGGCGAGCGAACGCGTTTATCTCCGCGGATTGAGTCGTTGCTGCGGCTAATTAGACGTAGACTCGTCGTTTATGCCATTAGACTTTTCCGAGCGATCGCCGAGTCCAGCCGTATAATACGCGAATTATGAATGGCCATGCGGGTAAAATTGATAGCACGTACCGGCACACGCGCGCGCTACGTTTACGAATTATACATGCATATACGTGGATAATGTATGCATGCGTTCGCGTAGAAAATCGTGCACGTGCCCGGGTAAAATTCATGGCCCGGCCCAGCACGAACGATTCTCTGCGCGCCTTGAAATGAGGTGAAACCGACGTGCACGCGCCACGCCGCGGCGGCGGTCACGGACGCATGCTGCACACAATTCGAATCGCACTTTCGACTTTGGCTCCTATATGTACCTGCGAAATATATCAATCGAGAGAGTAGAAGTATTCTTGAATTAATCACGCAGCTTTGTCCAAGAGTGAATCGAGATCTTGACACTTTTTTCACTTGTGTTTCGTTCGTCAATTTCGCGTACTTTTGATGGACATTTGTACCGGAATATTCGAATTATTTACAATATCATTACTTTTACTTTAAAATTACTAAAGTTACTTTGAAAAATCAACGATTTTTATGCGACGACTAAAATACTAAACCGCTGCCAATTTATTGGCAAAGAGCTTCCTCATAAAAATTACATCAATGAAAGGGTTTGGTTATTAAAAGGAGAATTCGTATTTCATTTTTAAGGCCGAGAAAACAAAAACACATACAGAAATTTGTTGGTAATTCACTGTAGTTTCCAAATATGTAAACCAAATTGTCCTACGACGTCTGGTTCCAAATCTCATTTTCAAGCCTATCACAGAACTTCCTCTATGAGGAAGCAATACTAAAAATAATGTTAAAACTAAAGTGAATATACTATATAATGATTTAACGGACATTTGAATATATAAGTATAGACTTGAATATGGCTGACATTTTATGAAAATCATATTATAATTACGATACTGGCATTAATGTATTGAGGATTATAGGTAAGCGCGTTGAATACAAGTGCATAGTAGTTCAAGAATTACCACTAGATGGCGTATGCCCGGATCTTTGAACACCGAAAGAGAAGAAGCAGAGTTTTAACATTAAGTTAACACATAAGCGTAGAAATCGCTATTCAATAAAACATCGCATCGCAGTTTATGCGGTAGACTTGTATATTCTCTACCTGACATATCGAGAGTTGTGCACGACGCAGAGCAATAACGACAATATCCAATTATCATCAAGCTAGGCCACTATATAGACACTGCACTGCTCGCAAATATGCAGATTTCGCGAATCTCGCGGTACTCGCGAGTGAAATTTCTCCAGTTTGTGTACGTGTGTCCAGAATTTTTGTCGGGCTCGCAAGCTCCGCGTTTTTCACGACTCCATCTTTTAGTATTGCGTGCACGCGTGCGCTTAAACATTCGGAACAGCTTGTTTTTGTTGTTGTTGTTATAACCACAGCTCAACGATAAATCTCGCAAGTAATTCTACGCAAGCACTCGTGCGGCTATATACCAAATCGGAAGAATATTTATTCCAAGTGCGCGAGACATAGGAAAACGATTTAGGACCGGGCGGATAAATGCATTCGTTGTCTTATACGCGAGATTTATACATCGTGTGCGCTGCTCCGGAGATTTACATATTACACGCGTGC